GCAGCAGGCATGCAGGGATGCAATGGGAAATTCTCACTGCTTTCTCCTGCTCCATAATGCTGGTTCACTGTTTCTAAGGTTAATGGAAATAGTGCTATGGTGCAGGATGATTGGACAAGCAGTGAGACTTTTTCTGTCCTCTTAACAGCCTCTCTCAAGATTGCTAATCAATCGCAACAAACAAGAGCAAGGAATAAGCAACCCTGTGGCCTTCCCACACATCATGCCAAGTTTGCGTTGGTTTTCTCAGCACAAACTGTAAACCCAGCTATTGTGTTCATGAACCTTAACCAATGTCTGTGGCTCAGTGTTGTTTTAACTGAGATATTATGGCTTGTTCAACAAACCATGGCCTAGAGTGATGAGGAAACCCAGCCTAAGGGTCATGGAAAAACTAGGGAAAAGCCTTGCTGCCCTTCATCCTAGCGATTCTGCTTAAGACTGCTGCTTCTTTGCTCCCATTAGTGGAAGGGAAGCAGATGCCTGTTCACTCCCAGCTGATTAGGGAAAATTGGACAAGCCACCTGCAGGCTGCGTGTGGCCCACAGGTTGCCAAACCATGCGCTAAACCTCCCTTCATTAACAGAATGAAAACAGAGAAAATTAGTAGATTGGAGAACGACTGTTGAAAAAGAAAAATCATGGAGAAGATAGAGATGTAGAGATAGATATAAATATATTTTTATTTATAAAATATCAAACATAACATGGTACTGCAATATTTAAATAATCAGGAATAGCATGTTTGAATTTTGAAACTTATTCCACTTGCTTAAATAAGAAAGAACCTCATAGACAAATCATCCTGTGAAGTCTGAGCAGACTTTCTTTCATCTTTCTCACAAACACATAATGTGGACTGTAGCAAATATCAAGGTTAGCACCAACTGAATACCCCCAGAGGATGACCGATTTATAATTTTTGATTACGACATAGTGAGCAGAAGGTAGATCTACAACTGCTGGTAGATCTTTATGATTTTTAGCAAATCAAAAAGGTTTTTTTAAAATTCCAAATTGTTTAATATCAGCAGCAACAAAATGACTCCTTCTGCCTAATCTAAGTTTTATTAATGAACTGAAGATAATCAGTAATATTAATCACTGCTTTGCTATTGTTGTAAAAGTTGTAAAACAGTATGTAGGTTAGAAGTAAATTATTTTGTGAAGTTTTCATACTTTTTTTGCAGGGGTTCCCTGAGACCTGAAAATTATTTCAAGGGTTCCTCCAGAGTAAAAAGGTTGAGAACAGCTGCTTTTGTAGATCCTGGGTTTCTACTAAAAAAGCAAATTATTGGGGCAGATTTGAAGTCTATCCACTTGTAGCCTGATCTTATTCAGAAGTTTGTAGCACAGTTGAAAGAAATGTCAATCTTGATTACTCCATGACTACAGCCCTCTTTAAAAGGAGGACCAGATCTTTTAAATTAACTAGAATTCCTATTTGTTGCCTTCTAACTCTTTATGATATCAAAACATAAGAATAAAACATATAAAAAGTGAAATAAAGAAAGTAGCAGACCCTGAATTTAATTTATATTTTATGTAGAAAGATTATTCAGAATTTCTGTATTGGTGGGAAGTTGAACTACAACTTTCAGGCTTCCACTGCAACATATCTGGAGGGTACAGGGTTCTGGAAGGCTATTTTCAGCCTTGGTATTAACCTACAGTAATGATACTAGCAGACAAAGGAATGGGTTATTATCACATAATATCCTGTAATAAGGGAAATCTTCAGTGCACTATTTATTAACTACTTTTCATTTTAATGAATACCAAGATGATATTCTAAACTAAACTAAAAGAGGCCATAAATATAGGAAAATAAAATTATAAAATGCTATAACACATGGTCTTCAGCATCTATAGCGGAGTTTGAGCTGATTTCAGTGAGATTTCCTTTCTCATTGTTTTACGCTTCACTCTTCAGCACATTTCAATGCATGGGAGAATACAGACTTAATACTGATTGCAATCAATTTATGATCACGCAGTGTGTCTGTTTCTTCACCTCTCTTTTCCAAAATATCAGAACATTCCATCTCCTTACTGCAGCATAGAAAATTATGAGAGTTTGAAGAGGGCAAATTTATCCAGTTGCCCCCCCCCAAAAAAAAGTGTTAACAGAAATCCCACAAATCAGACACCATTGTTTCATTCATATGCAAATATATATCTTTTCAGGCTCTAGTCATATTGACACTTACATGGGAGGAAGCCCCATTGAGTTCAACAGGATTGGCTTCAGAGTAGATATGTACAGGATTATGTGCATGATGCAATCCTTGAATTACATCTATTGGGCAAGATTAGGACTGCTCTTGAATATATGAATAGAGTAAATCTACTCTGAAGAGACTCTCTTGCAGGAACAGATACAATTGCTTTAAAGAGGGAGGAAGAAGGAAACAGAAGGAATCAGGGGATGGCAAATGAATAAAACTTTGTCCAAGATCAAAGTTCCCTACAGGCTTTCCTTATTTCAACAACGAAGTAAATTATGCTAAAATACTTCCATTAAACCAACCTAAAACTCACTATTCTGCCTCTATAAGTCAGAACCCCATCATTTGTGGTTAATTCAGAACGCCATCACAGTTCACCTCGAGATACCTAAAACTGAACAAGGGATATGTTTCGAATATTTGCCACAGAGCTAAGTTCTCCTGTCTTTAGGACTATGAAGACACCAACAGGATCTTCAGCGATTGCCTTGAACAAACGGACAAGAATTGAAAAGCTAGGGGAAACAAAATGAAATGAAGGGTTAACTAGGAACGTATCTCCTCATGAGAACCAGAAGTGTAGTATCTTGAACATAATATGCGTAGGGTTATGGCTGAGTGGGATTTTGGGGGGGGGGGGGGGAATTGGGTGGAACACCCAATTTTATTTGTATAAATACACTGTGATGGTATTGCAACTTTATTTCTGATCTCTTTTAATGTTGTAGGGCATGATGAGGTGTTCACCTTTTTCACAGTTAGGTCAATATTCCTATTTTCTTATCTTATTTATTCAATTAGCAATTCATCAGAGGGATTCTATTTTCCCAGTGCAAAAGTACAGGATGCGTAAGAAAAAATGCAATGTATGTATATATACCTATGGGTATATATGTATAAGTTGTCAAAAGTTAAGTTTTGCCTTACATTTACATTCTGAGGTGTGACAGAAATTCTATATATAATAATGCAGGCACTCAACTAGTCAACACAAGCTGGAAATACATACTAGGAAGGCCATATTAACTATCACTTGGCAGTACATTAAAATTATTTTTTTCTCTTAGCAGTAGAAATGAACATACTTTACTAACATGAAGATAGAAGCAAGAAGTGACCTATTAAATGACTACTTCTTGTAAACACAATTGTTTTCTTACAGGTCAACATCTGTTCTTTCAAGAAGACACAAATAAAATAAATTATAGCCTTCCTATTTGTTTTTGGATTTCAAACATAAATCAAGCTTTTATCTGAGAACTGAATATTTCAAAAGATTGAGAGCCACTTATAAGAAGATGCAAAGAGTGCCTACTTTGTAATGATTTAGCTTTTCAAAATCAGCAAATCAGCACACATAAGGATACTGCAGTCTCTCATGCCCCTTTAAGATGTATTTCAAAAGGTGTTATCCTGATTTTTGTTATTAGAAAATTAGAATAATATTCTAATGCAATTAATCCTTGAAAACTGTTCCAATGCATAATTAGAACATTTACAATCTACTCCAATAGTACAATCAATCATATTCTTGTAGATAGACTATGCCAGAGCTTAAACAGACAACTTACATATTGCTTTAAATTTATATTCACATTTCCTTTCTTAAAGAAAAAATATCTAAGTCCATCAGAAGTCTCTTCTAACTTTCAAACTACTCCTAATAGAGAGCCTTCAATCCAATAAAATAGCCCTTTGCAATCAAAGAGACACATTTGTTGCAATTGCCATTGCAAACCTATCTTACTTATCTAACAATAAGACTCTTTAATGGAAGTCCAAGAATGAAATACACAAGACTACAAAGGCAAAGTCTCCTACAAGTCAAATCTGACTCCTGGTGATTTCATAGATATTCCATGTGGGTTTTTTTGGCAGCAATATGGAAGCAGTTTGCCACTACCTTCTTCCCTGGTGGTCCCTCCAAGTAGTAGTACTTATTAGTTTTTTTTTAATCAATAACTCAAGGTGGCGAACATACCTAATATTCCTTCCTCCTCCTATTTTCCCCACAACAACCCTGTGAGGTGAGTTGGGCTGAGAGAGAGTGACTGGCCCCACCCAGTCAGCTTTCGTGCCTAAGGCAGGAGTAGAACTCACAGCCTCCTGGTTTCTAGCCTGGTGCCTTCACCACTAGACCAAATGGGTCTCTACTAACCAGCTGCAATCCTGCTTAAATTTCCAAAATCAGCTATTAAACTGAATATAAATCCTGTTGATTCAACATGATATAGGATCAACTTTGTACAAACTGGGGCTAAAGTATTTCAGGTATATCCCACCAATCACCCAGACTTTAGATAACTAGGCACTGATCAAGATTGGTGAATAGACCACCTTTCTGATTCAGAATAAAGCATACATTCAATTTATGAAGATACAGGAATCGTTAATTCATTCAGAATAATTTCTACACCAGGATGGAATACAAGTAACAAGAAAGCATGTTTCAGACGACATAATTACAGCAGCAAATTTAAAGCAGAACTTTCATAGTGGGGAGAAGAGGACATTGTAATCACTGTTGCTTTTGTTGTAACGCTTTGATTTTTTTTCCCTGGCAGTCAATAAACTTGGAAATTCTAACCTGAGTGTCTTTAAAATAATAGCATTACTAAATAAAGGAGAAAGACTTAATAGGGGTCCTTCCTGCTAGACAGAAACACTCAGGACGGAAGTCAGCTTCCAGGCGTGCATACGAGGCACTCACTTTCCTCGCGCTTGGAATCGCTCCTCACAGCCGGTTCTGAGACAGCCACAGAATGCACTTACCCGTGAACAGCCGCAGCATACCAACACCACCCCTGGGCGCCGCCATTTTGCACAAACACGCCGGTCACGTGGGCGCCGGTGTTACACTCCCACCCATGCCCGCGATCGAGCGGGGAGAAGATGGCAACTCAGCCGAGAGCAAAAGGCGCGCGCGAAAGGGGAGGGGAGGGGCCGAGTGGAAGTCACGCCCCTTTCTGGCGTATTGCTTGTCTTGGTTTCGCAAGATAGTTTGAAGGGCGGAGAAGTTAAAGACGGTAGCAAGATGCTTCCCTGCGCGGAAAAGACAAACTTGGGTTGCTATGTACACGTTGTCGCCAACTCTGAAATACATTCTTCTCCTCCCTTCCAAGACTCATATTGAAAAGATGTAAATAAACGCTGCCTGCCTAAACTTAAAAGGGTTTGCAGACTGCCGTGGTGCTATAGTGGAAGCCAGCAGCATCCTTTGGGCGATGTAGAAAAAGAGGATTGGGTGGCCTTTTCTCCTTGAGGGAAACCTTGACATGTTTTAACGCTCTTGGTTTGTTAGGACAAAACACACCAACCCTTTTTGAACGGCGGGGGAAAAGAACGCGAATACAACCGAGTCCTTTTCTTCGGCAAGCCGAGATACGTCACGGCCGCGTCTTTGAAGGGTTCCATTGTGACGCTTGGCGGGGCTCAATCCTCCGCAGTTACGAAGGAGCTAAATCTGCGGTTGCCACTCCAGAGGCGCTTCTCGTTAGCCCGCTCTCTCTCGGGGCGCACCCACGTGGCCTCGGTTAGGGCACCCGCTGGAATTCCCAACCTTTTTCTCCACAACTGGGATACGGAGCCCCCCTGGAAAAAGGCGGCGGGTCAAGTGAAAACATGGTGCTGACTTTTCCACTAAATGTTGGGCAGCGTGGCTCCCAGCAGTCGGAAAGTCTTACCCAGTTGGTCCCCTCTAAATATCCGGGACTATAACTGCTATCCTTTCCCCAGACAGTATAGCATTGGGATTTCCAAACTGATGATGATGATGATGATGATGATGATGATGATGATGATTTAAGTTGAGAGCCAGTTCGGTGTAGTGGTTAAGGCATCAGGCTAGAAACCAAGAGACCATGAACTCTATTCCTCCCTCTCAGCCCTGGGAAGGAGGCAAGGGCAAACCACTTCCGAAACACCTTGCCAAGAAAACTGCAGGGACTAATCCAAGGAGATGTCAGGAATCAACACTGACAGGAAGGCACTCCCCAAAAAATGAAGTCACTTTCTGTACAGTGTCTTGTCATTGCCCCAGCAATTTTGAAGTTGCATTTATTTATTGATGTTATATATTCTGTCTTTCTGGGTGATAAAGGCCATTCAAAACAGATGATAACATTAAAAAATATAAGCTATTAGAGATTAAAGTACCATGTGTATTTGTGTGGAAGTAAGCTACCACACGTTTAATACCAGGAGAGCAGAAATAATTGACATACGTTAAATTACAGACCAACGTCAACTAGTCCACAAACTGTTTTTTTTAATTATTGGAGTATAAGCTCCTGTTCTTGGGGGATGAATTTCCACAGTCACTGGCTACAAGCAAGAAATTGTCCTTCCTGCTACTCTGAGGGATCTTACTAGGAAATGACGCACCTCAGCAGAGTCTCTATGGCCCATCATAACAGCCAGGCAAATTACCAATTAAGTTACAAATCAGTTTAGGTATGTAAATGCCACATTTTGAATTGAGATGCAAAACAGTTTGTAGCTAATAGGGAGCTGGTTGATCAGCTGGTTCTGATAAAAGCCCAACATTCCTCCACCCCAGGTAGAATTGGGAGCTGAATTCTGCTCTTGTCACCTACACAGCCTTTCTGCTTCCATAACTGGACTCCTGGTTTCTATATAATTATAGGCAACAAAATCTGAGATTAAACAAACAGCTCTGCTGTCACTACATCTAGTTTGATCCCTGATCCAGTGCTGGGAAAGATGGTTTGGAAAGCCCTAATTAAAGAAGAGAATAATCACCTCCATTGGACTTGTTTTTTAAGTAGTCTGCGTAGTGTTGAGTTGCTTCAGTATCAGCAGAAATGTTGTATAATTTCCCTTTTCCTTCTGATAATTAGGATATGTGCTTAGAATCCTGATGGAGCTGGTCTATCATGTGTATGAAACAATGAGTGAACTGACATTAACAATGATTTCCCACAATTGCAAGAAGGTAGTACAAATAATTAAAGAAAGATGGAGAGATGATCCTTAAAGTGGCTGAGTAACATTTATTTGTAGCTCAATGTGTTTGGGACCTCAAATCCCTTATCAAGTGCGCTGAAAACTTCCATTTCTTTTATCTGCATGCAGTTCATAAGAATATAGGAACAACCCCGCTGGAACAGGCTAAGGCTAATTTTAATCCAGCATTTTATTTCTTACAATGGCCAACCGGATATCTCTCTCCCACCATTGGTTCCCCTGCAACTAGAATTTGGAAGCAGATGTTGACCTCAACCTGGAGATTACTATCTTGTTTGAACTGGCTCTTCTGGTTACTAGTCTGCTTCTTTTAACATAAGAAGCTTCTCAAAGAGGGAACTTTTAACTTAAGAAGCTTAAGTTAAATGATATGTGGAAAGTTTTTTGTATTTGTATTTATTTTTTAAGGGGGAGTTAAAGTTGTCTTATACAGAACCCATAAATTACTAAATATTAAGTGATGTCTTATAATCTGCCCATTGACATCAAACCTGGAATCCTAGACTGAAAGGAGACTAGAGGGATAATAGAAGTGCAAAAACCATTGGCTTTGTCTGTAAAATACAATTTGGAATTGTTAATTTCTTGAGAATGTTCAGATTCAGATATTACTTCTTTTTTCATGGAATGAGATCACTGGAGGTTTAATGGGGGTGGGATTTGTAGTATATGATTTTGTTACACAAACATGCTGAGCATAAATCAAACCCCACAGCAATATAATTCCATAGATTTCCCCCTTTTCCACCTGTATCTCTTGTTCTCACTATAAAACTGCAGACTTGTTCATTGGTTTCCCACTCTCTGAGTCTGGTAATGGTGGTGGTAGTGATAGGAAGATGTGCCATTTCTGCTCATCCACTGTACCATTTTTGTACAGCAGAATATATCATCTAAATAATACAAGCTCTCAACAGCCTTCGTTTAAAAGGTAAAGTCAAACTGGATTCTTGGTGCTTCATAGACACTTCCATGTATTGACAGCAAGCCATTGCCTTTTCTGGAATACTTTTTCCATTTCTAAGCCCAGTCTACCACTCTAAAATTCCCTGGTGACGTCCTATCCAAGAACTAAGTTCATTTGTTTTATTGTTTATATGAATATATTAAGTCATACATCAAAAGCAAGGTGTCTGCTCTGTGGACTATGGAATAAAGAATAGTAGATGTCATTTACTTGTGTCAGTTTCAACTTATTGGGATTCTTTGGGGAAAAGTGGAGGGGTACCAATACTTTGGGCCACATCTGTATTTAATATTGTTAAGACCCGCAACCATTGTTGTTCCATTAGCGTTGTTCCAGTTCTTTAATCCTTGAGCCATAAATGCACAGAAATCAGCATTAGCTTGATGTTGATGATGATTTTGCTCAAGGAGCAGAGTTTATATCTGCTGCAGTTAAATTGTTTGCAGCTAAAGCTTGAGCACAGTTGCTATACAGAGCTCAACTAGGACCATATAACAACATGGCTACCCTAGAGAGAGTCCAAACTAATTTTCCATGGTACAGTAATACCTCGGTTCACAAACGCTTCTGTTTACGAACAATTCAGTTTGCGAACCGCAGCGTTCGCAAAATTTTGCTTCTGTTCATGAACTCTGCATTGGGTGACGAACACGACCTGCGGCCATCTTCCCTGCTCTGACACGTGGTCGTGGCTTCCTCT